TAATTTTTTGTAGTTTTAGTAGAGACGGGGTTTCACCGTGTTGACCAGGATGGTCTCGATCTCTTGACCTCATGATCCACCTGCCTTGGCCTCCCAAATTGCTGGGATTACAGGCGTGAGCCACCACGCCCGGCCCAGTAATTTATTTCTTAATGGTTCTAGGGGATGAAAAGTCCAAGATACAGGTGCTAGAAGATTTGGTTCCTGGTGAGGGGTCTCATTCTGGCTTGCCATATCCACACAGGGGAGAGAGAAAGTGATAAAGGGAGAGAGCACACATGCACAAGAGTAAGAGAGTGAAAGCTCTCCAATATCTCTTCGTAGAAGGGCACTAATCCCATCATGAGGGCTCCATCGTCATGACTTCATCTAAACCTAATCATATCTCCCAGAGACCTCCCCTATTCAAATACTGTCTCATTGGAGGTTAGGGCACCAACATATGAATTTTTCAGAACACAATTCGACTGATAGCATTTGATACATAAAATAATATTTTTTAAAGTCTATGGAATATTTTTAGAAATGAATTACACTTTAAACAAGAAAACAGAAATCTAAAAAAAAAAACTTCTTATATGCCGATACCTATAAGCATAGTGCAATAAAATTTTAAATCAATACAAAAGGATAAGTAAATATTAAATAATAGCAAGTTTCAGAGAATCCTCTTCTAAATAATTCTATCTCCAAGAATAACGTGAAACTCTAGTCATAAACCAATAATAACAATAACAACACATCAACATATATGGGATGTTACTGAAGTTGTCATTAGGAACAGTCACAACTTTAAGTGCTTTTATTATTAAAGAAGAATTAATTCAGATGAACTAACTAAGCATCCAAAGATGTAAGAACAAGTGAGACAAAGAAATTCATAAGAAAAACAGAGAAAAGAGGTACTAAATTTAAAAACAAAGCAAAATTAATGAAATGCAAAATAGGAAAAAAAGAATAAAATGGATGTATAAATTCAAGAGCTGGTTCTCTGTAAAGTCTAATAAAGTAGATAAATTGTTGGCAAATCTAACTAAGGAAAGAGGACAAAAATCAAATAACCTAATGTATAAACTATAATTACAGAATAAAATTCAGAAAGAGGCCTTTAAGAAAATATTAAGCACCAAAATATAAGATAAAATGTTTAAATCTTGATAATATAGATATTTTTAGGAAAATGTCTAACATTAACTCAAGATAAAGAACCCTAAGAGACCTAATATATAAGAAGTTTAAAACATTAGAAATGACTATAATTATAAAAATTATAATTACCTCTCTTAATAAGAAGCATTCCCTAAAGACATTAGGTCCAAATGCTTTCATGAGAAAAAAATCTCTCATTTTCATTCAAATATTGAAAGAATACATTATCTTTGTGGCATATAAACTCTTACATCACTTTATTTTTTTATTTTTTATTTATTTATTTTTTTGAGACAGAGTCTCCCTCTGTTACTCAGGCTGAAGTACAATGGCACAATCTTGGCTCAGTGCAACCTCCGCCTCCCAAGTTCAAGTGATTTTCCTGCCTCTGACCCTGGAGTAGCTGGGATTACAGGCACCTGCCACCACGTCTGGCTAATTTGTGTTGTATTTTTAGTAGACATGGGGTTCCACGGTGGTCTCAAACTCCTGAACTCAAGTGATCTGCCCGCCTCAGCCTCCCAAAGTGCTGGGATTACAGGAGTAAGCCATCGCACCTGTCTAAACTGTTATATCACTTTACAGGATGCCTAGAAGTTACTTAATTATTACAAGAGTCCCATAACCCTATTATCAAATTCTTAATAAAATTTTAACTAATCAAATTAACTGCATGTGATAACAAGAACAATATTACTAAACAAATAGGCTTAAACTAGAAAACCAAAGATAGTTGATATTTTGGAATTAATGCATTTTTATGATGTTACTTTGCCAAAAAGAGATAAAACATATTGTTATCTCAATAGATAATTTAAAAATCATTCAATAAAATTTAGTGCCCATTTCTGGCAAAACCAAAATTGAAGAATACTTCCTTAGGATTTGTTAAAATCCTTCTCAAAAATATACATAAATATGATTACAGTTTTAAAAATGAAATAAGAGTTATAAACATTTTGAAAAGATAAAGCAAAATTATCATGCTATGGAAAATCCAAGTAAAACTAACTATTGAATTTATAAAATTTTATTCTGGCAGATTGTTTTTAAAAATATTCAAAAGTCAGTAAATTTCCTTTATAATATTAAATATAATGAAGAAAATGGTTAATTTTATAATTAGTTCATAAAAGCAATGTAGAATGTAAACTGTCTAGGAATAAACTTCTTAAAAAGTATAAGATCCACTGTGCTACCTAACAGAAAATGCGAATAAATAGAGAAAAATTTTATGCTCCTGAAGGTAGTATCATAACAATGACAGTTCTCTATATAGTCTACAAATATAACAAAGCCTAAGTGAATGAATAAATGTAAGACAATCCCAATCAAATTTGAATGTAGTTTTTTAAAACACGTCTTCACTGAAGCTTATACATGTATAAGCTTACACATGTATACAAAGCTACATGTATCTTTGTATATAACCACATATTTCTTTAGCATGCATTCCTGGCAGTATATCTACTAGGTCAAATGTATGACAATATGTTTACTTTTTAATGTATTTAAAGTATATTATTCACAAGAAAATTTGATGTTCAGTTTAGCCTTTCATGAGTCAACCATGTCTGCTTTCATTCTTTTTAATATCTTTGATTTGTTTAACTAGTTCATAAGCTCTTTTCTTTTGCCTTTTTCATAGAACTAGAAAGTTTGAACATTTTTTCTAAGCTATTAATCATATTTATCTCTTTTGTTTGTGTGATTCGTATCTCCATACAAATACAACTATTTT